AGTTCGGCAGGGGGATTACACCGAAACTTTCCATTGCCAGATGCTGACAGGGATATTTGAGTTAGCAAAGAAAAAGGGAACAAAGCAGAGAGGAAGGAGGTTTGAGCAGGATCCACAGTGCAGAGATGAACCATGAGACTGAATGAAAAGAAGGGCCTGAGAAACATCAAGGGAGAGAGTGGAGAGCAGGAATAGGTGGAAAATTAAGGGGGAACCCTCTGTGCCTGACACAGCACATATTGCTGGGAAAGAACCCCAAAATCCTCAACCCCGCATTGCCCTGCTGCCAGCAAACATCCACACAAGTGTTTCTGTAAGGCTGGGGCTCCTGGAGAACGGTAACCAACTGTTGGAACTATTATCTCTGTGGCTGAACCTTTGCTCGCTAGCCTGTAGCACCGGGGCAGGAGGGCTGAGGCCGCGACGAAAGATGGCCCAAAGAACCTTGTGCCGCACTGACAGCTAAATTCAGGTCACCCATGGGATCTGAACTTGCTCCCTTCCCATTTAGAGGCACGTATGACGATACAAATCTTTGCTAGGCACACCTTTTCCCCACAGGATCGGCTTACTCCCAAAGTGAACCAAACTGCGTTTCTCTGACAAGCAGATTTTCAGTGCTGTCTCTGAATCCTCCATGTGGCTCCATGCTTCACTGGCTGCTCGTTGATGACTTCTCATCCTGAATAATGAATTAGCAACTCCTTCTATTTATGGTGTTCATCACTGGAATACGCAAGTATGGGCAGATCCACCAAAGTAACAGCTTCCAGTCACGTAGCCATTCTTTAAATTTTTCATTTATTACTTTGAAAGGAAAGCTTCATTTCCCAGGTAGGTTGTGTAAAATACAGACCTTCATGGGCACAAACTTACAATCCAAATACCTGAGAACAAGAACACTCAGAACTCATTTACCTGGGTTTCTGTTTTTAAATCATCATTTAAGAAGTTGAAAGAGGAAACAGGATTCCAGAAAAAAATATTTGGTACAAATAAAACCAGGGAGACCATCATTGCCTCACAGGACCTGGAGAGCAAAACAACAAGACAGGCAAAGCAATACGCATGGAAGGAGAGGCAGAGAAAGATAAAGCTATTAGCAAAAGTTGGGGGCACTTAGACTAGAATTAAGTCCCACTCCAGTATCTACCCATTCATCCACCCCCCCGGAGTTCTTCTCCAGCAGCTCCCACCAATAGATCTCAGGAGCTTTTAATGACTGATAAGAAGAAAAACTGAGGCCTAGGAGCTGTATTACCCCCAATTTACAAAAGAGGGAAACTGAGGCATGAAACAACCTCATCTCTTCTCTCACTTAAGCAAATGGCAGGGACTCAAGGTAAAGTTGTTCCTTCGTTTCCTCACCAGAAAAGCAATCACCTTACATTTCACTAGAATAGAATATTAACATTCTTCAGTAATTTTTGTTCTCAGGCATTTCTATGGAAACATACCTGTTTACGGTAACATAAAAAGGCTGATGGCTTTTAAAAACTCCATTTTACTTACCTGCCTTTTACTGACATAACTGTTTCTATGGAAACTGGAACTGGCCATGAAGCAGTCCTACAACATGAATTCTCACTTGTCAGTTTTACATTAAAGTGCCACCTTCAAAGTCCTTTAATAAACCAGTAATAATTGTGTTGCCTAATGAGTTTTCAAATTAAACAAAACAAGAAAGCGTACTTTCAGTGAGCGTTCTGCACAATATTCTGTAGGTGTGGTCCAAGTCTAAGAATTTTAACAAGTGTGCATGATATGACTCTCCTGGTTAGGGATATGATCCGTAAACAGAGAGACAGTTTGTTAGCAGTAAAAGCGCTAGTGTGTGTAGTTAGACTTACATAAAGGTGACTTATACCAACACGGGTATGTCTAGACTGCTGTCACAGAAGCATACTGTAGAGATACTACGTAAACGGGTAAATCAACCGACAGTGAGCTCTGTGCTCCCACAGCTAGCTGGGGTACGTCTGTGCAGGCGTATGCATGCGGTATTCCCTGTAGGTACGAGGGGGGGAATGCACTCAGAGTAAGTCTTAGTTTGTGCTGGGCGGCTACCATGGAAAAAATAAAGCATGCAAGCTAAAGGCACAACTATTCCATAGAGTTATTCCGAATTAGAATCTGCAACCGAAATCTAGGCTTCTCCGTTAGTTTTACTTTAAACATTGTCTTGTAAAAACTGTAGGCTCCCTTGTGTTCATACTTCCCGGAGTTAACTCAAGTGAGAAAAACCCCTTTTTCCTGTTCTTGGGGAGCAGTCTCCAGCAGAACATACCCTCAATCTCAAGAGTCCAGCATCGCCAGCAAGGAGCAGCTTATAAACTTCCACGGACAGGTACTTTCTAGAGTAACTTATCCTTCTTTCCTGCTATGAATTCTTCCCACTTCATCTCTGGTGCTTCGCATTTGATCGGTGCTTTCAAAGTGCAACAGGGGCAGAACAGAGGGGGAAGACGCTTTGTGTTGGCATCAACCCTCAGTGTGCAGAAAAGAGGTGGCCAGGGGTTCTGGGCAAACTTTACACACAGAAACGCATCTAAAACACAGGGAGTGCAGGATCAAAGCTGGAGGCAACAGAACACATTATATACTATGTGTACAGCTACCCAAGCTGCAAAGGACAAAGGTATAATCCTATTTTGGTACAAATTCATATTGAAGAGACCCTAAAGAGCAATACGATCTCCAGACTATCTTTTCCACCCAGATTCAGCTGCACAGCACTCCTCCCAAACCTCCTCCAGCCCACACACTTGGCTGACACCCTCAGGAGAACCAGAGTCTTTCTCCCTTATAGCTGAAGAGATCACCTTTCCCAATGAGCTAGCAGTGTTCTTTTAACCCTTTCCCAGAAAAATCAGATTCTTCTACTACAGGACTTCTCAGGAAAATGACCAAGTCAGTCTTTTAAATCAGATGCCGTGCTCCTTCTGTATGGTCCAGAGCACCACATACTTGCCTTAAATATCCTCAAATTCATGGCAAGTAGGCAACTCCTCCATCATCAAACAGTAACATACGGTTCACTCCTGAAGTGAGTCTGAGTTTCGGAATGGCACTTCCAAACTATTTTTTCCATAGACAGCCTTGGTTTTTAAGCATCGCTTCAAACAGATCAGTAATCGGAGCAGGAATTCGAGAAGCAGATCTCCCCTTGTCACCTTTGGAGAAAGGTGGCCAACCAGACCTTTCTGTAGGTGTAAAAGTTGCAGTTCCCCTCAGAACCTGGATTTTTTTCCCTACTTTCCAAATATGTTCAAGGGAAGGGAAGGCAGACAACTTTGAGAATTCTTTCTTAATCCTCTTTTATTCCCTTCAGCACAGGTACATCCTTTCAACACCTGTTCCGGCCCATATAAGGATGTGACTAGAAGGCACCCATCTCAAAAGAGAGCAGCAATGCTAGGAGCAGGGCAGCCTGCAGGGAAACCAACTATGGAGCCCTGCAGCAAGTAGGGAATTTACAGCAAAAGAATGATTCATACATAGTTTTCCACTACAGACAAACGCACTATCTCTTTAAGGCCAGAGTTTTCCACAGGCCTCTGAACGCAAATGCCAAATATTTTGTCATGCCTTTCTCTTAGCCTATATCTCACTGCAGCCAGGGCTTGGAATGAGGCATATAATGTAACAACAAAGCAGAGACCTGGCACGCATGGGGCTACTCACTGGCTTTCCTCAGGCATATGGTTTATTTTTCCCTGCTATGTCAATCCTTATAGGGCTTTACCACTACCTCTGCCTGCCGGGAGCCTGCTATTTCAAATGTTACAGGGAAGGTGCAGAGGAAAGAGGAAGGATACATGCAAACCCTTCTACTCTTTTCAAGTTAAAGGTCTCACCACCACACCATTAATTAAAACAGATTAATTAGACAAGCCCCAGCAGCAGCAAGCCCTCTCCAAGGATTAATACCGAACAGCTCCGGGCTTTGAACTGGAGGATATAACAGAGTTCTGATTATACCCAATTAAACACCCTGCATAGTAACCTTCTTCAGGCCAATGTTATTTCATCAATGTCTTGTGTTCCTCAGCAAACACAGATATGGATAGTGCTCTTCTCCAAAGGTGACAAGGCACAGAAGACTCAAAAAGCAACAAGAAGCACAGAGATTGCAGTGGGTCTTTCTGGCTTTTGTATTTTCTAAAGCATCTGATTGATGGTTTAGCATTAGTGATGTAGGGAGCTATTTAAAAATGAACAGCAAAACGATGGCCGATTTTGGAATTCTGTTCAGAACAGAATCCACAACACCATGCATCAGTAGTGCACATGGTAGCCAGGGAAATCCAGGCAGGCTTAACAAGCTGCGGGCAAGGTTGCAGGATGGGGACGGGATGCAGGACCCCATTCCTGAATATTACTTTTCAGAGAAAAGTGAGGACTGCTTTGGGAGTGGGAAAGCTGTGCACATTCAGGAATACGTATTTACAGACACGGGTACACCAGCACTGCCAGGAAGGACAGGCAAATCCTTTGTTTGCTTGCTTGCATGTATTTTCTCTAGCTATTATAAAGAATACATAAAAAGAAACATCCAGTTATTACCATACGGAAAAATCACATGATCAGTCTCTAAGCCAGAAAAATGAGTCCTGGCGTGACCAGTGCTGTGAACAGTGCTCTTCAGCAGTGACTTTTCTTTAGGGCTCACTGGGTGTAAATGTGAGGAGTGCCCTGTCACAGCTCACTGCAGGGGAAGAGCCCAGCTTCTTTTCCAGCTCCCCTGCTGCATTAGGATGTCCAGAATCAGTTTGCTACAACTTTCACTAGGAATAGCGAGGAAGTCAGCAAAAATATTAAACCAAGTATTTGGGCTACTTCTCTGGAGCTGAACAACAGCATTTGGAGAATCAGAATGCTCTTTTTTCCCCATGTCTACATCAGATCAGACAATAGCAGATTTTCAGGGTCACTCAACCTCTTGTCCTTCCCTCTTTTATCCTGAATGAAGGAGAATGGAAGTTTCTTATCTTCTATCTCTAAAATGCCATATAATATCCTTCCATAGTGCTGACAACATCACTGTTACTCTCCAGCAGTTCCAAGACACGATGCATCACCACTTCAGCCAGAGAGGGGTTGTAGCTCTGCCGAACACAACTCAGGACATGAAGGAAATGACAACCTTTTTCAGCATCTGCAGGGAAAAAAAAAAAAATAAATATGCAGCCAGGCACAGAGGAAAGGCTTCAGTCTAACTGCCTCTTTTTAACTATCATAATCCAGAGCAGTCATGACAAACCCACAGCTGTTGGAGAGGAAGGCCCTAGGTGGTAAAGCAGAGATGTACGTATTCAGAAGGAAGAGATCCAGCCTGTGCCTAGAGTTCTCCAATTACCAACTGTTCCCACAGCCTTTTCTGGGAAGTGTCAGGGCTGTAACACTAGTACTGAGGGTGAAAGATGATCAGTCTTGCAAACTCCAATAGACAGGCCTTACTCAGTACAACCTGATGATGAGGTTAACAACTTAAGGGTACCTCCACTGTCCACCTGTGAATGCCATCCAGTTTCTGCAGCTGCAGAAGAAACCAAATGAAAATCCTTTTGCTCATACCCAACTTCAAAACCGTCTAGAAGAGAAGGAAGGTTCGTGGCCAGCACCTGCAACTGCTTGCCCAATGCTGGCATCTTGTGGAAAAACTGTTACAGTGCAGCTTTCATTCACACAGCAATGTAATCCCACCCCTGCACTTCAGACTGATCAGAAAATTATGTGAGTAGAAAGTCACAGAACTTCAGTATCAAATTTTATCTCCTTTTAAGAGGAATTAACCCTGAAAAAGTACAAGAACAGACATGTAAAAATAATCCGCTTTCCTAGAGGGCAAGCCAGAGACAAAGGTCCTTAATGACTGCAGTATTGCACGCAGCTACTGAGTGCCTGGTGGAACCACCGTTTGAAGATCAGCTGTCCCACTAAACGTTTCCCCCTGACAGACCCTGCAAACCCACTGAACATAAGAGCTGCAGGCTCCCATTCTCACCGAGTACTGAACACAACAGATTTCTTCCTCCTCCAAGGCTAACAAAGCAAAACTAGCATAAACGAGACATCAGCACAAATTACTTTCTTCCTCCTCAGCTCACATGAGATACATTTGAGAAGCGTACTGAGAAATTTCCACATGCCAAGGAGATCCCTATATTTTGTTGTTCCTGCCTTTGGTTTTATTTTTGCCAATCTCCACCCTAGAATTGGCTGAGCCCCAGAATTGACTTAAAAGCTGCTGAGAAAAGTCACAGGTAGGTAGGAGGCAATGCTGAGTACTGGAAAATAAGCAGTTCAGCCTATTAGGCTGTGATTTGGGCAAAGGTATTTCTTTAGAAATCAGTGATCCAGTATGATGAAAGACCTTTGTGGCTGGTAGCCAAAAATGCATCCACCACCCAAGGATGGATAAGCGCAGAGAAGAGAACAATGCCTCCACCTGGCCATAGTGACTGTTGTTGCAAACAAAGTGGGTAGCTGCGTTTTAGATGAGTCGTAGGTTTGTCATAAGAAGGTTAAAGTGCCCATCCCTGATCTACAATAACTTAAGTTATTCTCAATGAACTGGATTAGTGACTCAGGTGTTACCCAACAGTACAATACATACTTCCCTCCCAGATGCTGGTAGAAAATGGCATTTTGGGGTAGCTGCAGGTGTCTACAACCTTTAAGTAACCCAGAAACATGCCCAGTAACCCAACTTTGAAGAAGTACACTGCCTGCAGTGGAGTGATGCTGGCCCTCTTTCATGGACATACTGGGTTCTAGCTTTTGCCCGCCAGCTGAGGTAAGCCTGGCTACGATTAACCACCCTGCCTGACTGCCAGCATCAGAGAAGACAGTTACAGAACTGCTGTTTGCCCACTGTGGACATCTCACACAGCATCCATTTTGACATATTAAATTTAACTTCGAGTGTTTCTATTCTTTTCCTCTATTAGCCTCATCTAAGACTAAAAACCAGAGCAATTTGTCAAAGCAAACAAACAAACAAAAAAGAAACAAACCAATCTGGAGTAAATCTACCATTTTACAGTTCAGTCTGGAGTCAAAACACACTGTCATGCTTTCCTGGCTGTCTAGATAGACCCCCAGTGGCCTCGCATGGGGGCATTTAAGATCAGGCTGTTTTGAATTACAAATGGAGCCAAGGACTAGGACCGTCATGTAGGCGCATCACAGATCAGCCTTTGTGGAGCTCTGACTGGGCACGCTGAAGATTTTTTTATTTGTACAATTGTTCCAGGCAGCTGGGTTGGGCCTGAGAATGTGTCACAACAAAAGCAATGGGGTGAGGTATTGCCTTGGAAACTGGCAGAGAGGTAACTCATTGGAGAGAAGAGTTGGGTTTATCATAAATCAATCTGCCTGTCATGGATGATTAATATCACTCTTACAGGAAAACGAGTAGGAATTTCTTGCAACAAACAAGCAAAAGCCCTTGAGGTATTAGTTCTTGTTTTCTCGCTAGCCAAGGCCAAGCGGGTGGCTGAGACTGCCCGTCCCACCAGCAGAGGGGGGCCGACAGTTACAGCGAGCTCCGTGCTCTTGCATCATTCGGTGACAGTACGATACCCGCAGCACCCTCTTGGCTTTGATTGAAGCTTCTTGCTTTCCTTCTCAACATCTTCTGCTACCAGTGATCAGGACATTGAAATGGTCCTTCTGAAAACTAGCAGAGAGAGAGAGACTGACCTGGAAATTGTCCTCTTTACAATAGGAAACTAAGTAGGTGGAAAGCTTCAAGGAGAACAAGAGGCTCTGTAAAGCAGTTGCTATTTTTAACCTGCTTAGTATGGAAAACATGGCTTTGAGGACTCAGGACTTCTCAAAGTCTTTTCTGTGACTGATCTATGAGTTTCTCTCTGCTGTTGAATCCTCCTGACTGGGAAAAAGAACTTCCCAACCTCTCATGGAGCACAGAGTACCTCACCAGTATGATAATGGACAAGAGGGGAGTTAAACACCAGGCAGTCGCTCATTGCCCTCTGTCAACTGTGTCCAGGTTCTGGCCTTTATAGCGGCACAATTATACTAGAAAATGGGTTCCCAGGAGAACTTCCTGATGTAGAAGATAGGCAGATGAATGATTTGTCATTTACAGAGATTTGTATTTTCTAATTGGATAAAGGACAATAAAACAATGTGCTGTGGCAACTTGTTGCACTGAAACAGCCTCAGGCCCATCTTCACCTGCATGCCCGGTAGGTAACACCTACTCCCTCCATCCCCCAAAGGGACAGAACTTTTACCTCCACCTACAAACCTTGTCTGCAATTGCACCACTGCTTAAGGTAGCCAGCTGAAAACTCACCAATAACACCACTTCACTCAGCCTTTTTTTCACCACAGGAAAACCATCATATACCAGGTCCTACAAGCACTATTATGATAGTATAAGGATATGAGCGATTTAAGATTATATGCCTTACATTCTAGTTAGTCATTTATTCTGTACTAAAGCACATTCTACCCCACAAATAGCTGCACTCCAGCAGCAAGTGATCCCTGCTGACACATTCTGCCCAGTGAATTGAAAGAAACTCTGCAGCAACATACCTGTGTAATTAGCAGACATTCAAGTCAAGCACAATAGGCTTGAGGGACAGGGATAGCCCAGAAGCCATATGAGGTACATGATCTGAAAAGAGGATTTTGTCAGACTAAAATCCCTACTTGCAAAGAACAACCATCTGAGCTCTACCTGAATGTAGAATCTACTGACTTAAGGAATTTTTATTGTTGACTTAATGGAGGCGGGGAATTCACCTTTCCATACGGTCACTTCTGTGTCAACTCCCCTGCAGAAACCCAACTAGCAAGATTTGCTACTTATCCCTAGTGCAAAGCAACAGCTGCTAGGTGCTGACCTAACTTCATTACATTTGGTTCCTCCCAAAATCTCAAAAGATATAGATCTAAGACAATGGCTGCTTATTTCAGATCTGAGAGGTTTGCTTCCTGCTGGGCACACCTGCTCTTTCTCTCTCCATGCTCACAGAAAGCTGCTCTTGCACTCCTGCTTTTAGCTATACTGATTAGCCACACCAGCAACTTAGCTCTGAGTTCAAGGGTAAGGACAAGAAGCACATCTAATTCAGCAGCAGGAGAAGACAATGTCATCAGTGTATCAGCACCAGCTCATCAGAGCCTTGATCACAGTGTTACTTACGCCTCGGTTTTCGACAGTCTTCTTTAATCGCATCAAGAGTCACTTTAAGCAGCTCCTTATCATGGTCAGTCACCTGGAGAAAACAGAAAAAACAGGCAATTTACAGCAGGCTGTTTCACAGTAGATGCCGTGACTGCCAAAACACAATTCAAGGCCATGAAGTATTCTAAACTAACACTGTCATAACTACGGCCTGCACCGTATACTGCCTCCAAGAATAATAATGAATGTTACATCTTCAGTTGTTATTTTCAGTACCATGAGCAGCATCCATGATGTGCCAGAACTCAGAACCCAGAGAAGGGCAACAGACTCAGCAGCCCACCAAGTTTCAACCCACTTCGATAAGAAGAGACCTGTCCCAAGCCTCAGGCTTCAGCGTGCTCAGCTGCACCAACGCCCGGTTTGGTAACCTCGTGAACACAGACTGCGCTTGAGCAGTGGCAGTGCTTCAGTCTGGTGCCGACCTACACAAAGAACAACTCAGGGGGTGATACAGAGGTAAAAGTGTATCAAAAGTGAAATAAGCTGCAGATAACAGCTTATTTTGATAATTTTGAGCAAACAGACAGCACTTGGATGTCCAGCTTTTGTTTCTAACACATTTCTACTCTTTCTGAAAGAAAGTCATACCCCTGATCTCTCTGCAACCACAGCTCAGTTCCTTACATGGTATAAGTCCTTGGAGCTACCAGGTTTCTGGAAAACCACCCCTTTTTCTTGCAGCATCCTTATTGCTTCCTTAAAAACACTGTGAATCCTTTTGGAACTGGAGTCACTTTTTGGCTTCACCTGGATGGGAAGAAAGGAATGAAGCAGATGGTAAGAAATCTCAGCTCAGCTGAAGTTACCAGCAAAAGCTACAGATGCTTTCAAGAGCAAGAGGACTTCAGGGGATTTTGTTGCACATGTTTCTTCATTTAGTAATTCAAGGAATCCAAGCAGTGGGGATTGAATTCCCATCTCCTGGTTCAAAACTCAGGCAGTGTCCAAGAAAAAGGAAGAAACTGGCAAGAACAGTATTTGCTGTCCCTTTAGTTTCCAAATTTTCACACGTTTTGTTCATGCTCTCCAGAGTTTCTCCACAGCCTAATAAAATGAAAGGAGAAAGAGCATGCAAGAAATTAAGACAGGTATATGAGATAAGGGAACAAGGGATTCAGTTTTGAGGGGAGGTGGGAGATGAGTCTCTTGTGAAAGGAGAACAATATGCCTGGAAGTCCGAAACTGAGGGAGGAAGTTATTTAGAACAAAGGGTCTGTGCTTGGGACACATCTAACAAAGTAGGAAGGAAGGAAAGGGGGGGGGGGGGGGGGAAATCAGGGAAAAGCAGTGTTTGTTTGGAAGTAGAGCAGAGCTAAGACAGTGAAATGACAGCTAGGGAAGTGGAAGGAAATAAAGAGTCAGTTGTGGAGAGGATAAAGTATGAGTAGACAAGAGCCAGACAGCAACTTATTCTTCTCCATCTCTCTCTCTCCGTCCTGCTATGTCCTTCATCCTCCCATTTATCTACATAGACTGCTTAAATTCCCCAATTGTTGTTTCCTCATCTGTTGGGAGTACACTGTGCTCCCTGTGGTTTTCTTTGAGAACAGAGCTAAACTGCTTCCCACAGACCAACATGTGGTAACTAGAACCACACCAGAGCAACCAAAGCAAGATTTGCCAAGCCCTTTCTCCAGCTATCCCTGTAAATGCTCCCATCCTGTCCTCAACCAAAGTATCAGACTTGACAAACCTGACTTCACTCACCAGATGCACCCACAGGAGCCTTGGGAGTAAAACAGGCAGCCACCACATACCAGAATGAATTCACACAAAGACGTGAAACAGACACCACAATAGCAATGGAAGAATATCTTTTCACGAAACATTCATTCGATCCCTTTGCAAGTCTAAAGTGAAACTGCGACTGCTCCTAAGACTGGAAGCTGATGTGCCTAGCTGGGAACAGTTCAGAGATCCAATAGGGTTATTAGCATTAGCATGTTTCTCCATCCCCTTCCCTCCAGCTAATCCTCAGTATTTCAGTAGGCCATAATCACATATTCCCCTTTCTCTGCCCCACAACAGCTGTCTTTTTCCTCTCTAATCGACACTCAAATAATTGCCTAATAGTTCAAAACAATTCACACAGAACAATGGCTATTATTCTCGGTTCAGTTCTCTCCTTCTGTTTGGGACTGAAGGACTTCTTCGCCTGAATGTTTGCCTCTCCTCATCCACCACAGCTGTATCAGTTTGGATAACAACAGACACTGCTTCTAGCTACAAACGTGACCACACATCTGGACACCATTCTGATCACAGTGTTAATACCACTATCACGTTTCTCTTCATACTGCTTCTGCTGATGAACCGAAGAAAGAAACATAAAACGGAGCAGGAAGGGTTAAGCGGAGAGTGAGTATTTTCTCATGGAAAAGCACATTCTCATAGCCATATGTAAAGTGAAGAGACTTTGCCTCTCACTCAAAGGCAGTAATAAATCCGCAAGAATCTAAAACTGCTAGCAAAGCAGCCACCTCAAGACTCTGATCAATTTTTAATGTGAAAGTAAACATTTGGGGAGAAAAAAAAGATAAAAATATCTCCAAAGAAACAGGATAATTATTCGGTTTGGCTTAACACTGAGATCCTGTCAGAAAAGGGAGATAATTAAAAACAGACTCTGTGTGAACTGACACACAGCTCAGCCTGGACGGATGCTGAAACAGAATCACTGAGGATGCCTTCACCCAGGCAGCCCCTTGACTTGCAGAGAGGCAGGCTTGGGAGTGAGAAAAGGAATCAGCAGCTTCTACATATCAGCACCCTCTCATACGTGCTGCAGAGTCCCAGGGAAAGGGCTCCATGGCAGAAGGACTGTTCCCGAAGAACAAACGAGGCCTCCTGCCCTCCTCAAGGGCTTCAATATTACCCTGACATGATGGGGAAAGTTTGAGTTTTTTTCCTAGCGTGCTCTAGAACATGTTTCCTCCCCTCCATCCCCCCGAGTAAGGCAACAATTGAAGAGTTTCTTTGTGAACACAATCTAAAAATAACTTAATCTGTTCTTTTGGTCCACTCCAAATACTTCCAGCATCCATCCTGCTAATTCAGAAGTCAATAGTACTTCTTCCCAATACCTTATCGCTTTCTTTTATGCCAAACCAGGGCCTCCTTTCCTCTGGACTTGGATCCCCCCTCCTAGCCAATGACACCTAAGTTTGTCATTTAGTCTACAGAGCAGAAACCTACAGGAGACTGAACGTGGGGCTATACACAGAGAGAAGAAATCTAGGACAATGAAATCCCATGTGATTTCACATCCCTGCTTTACTGAAAGGAGGAGATTGAAAAATGCTTGCATTTCAACAGTTAAAGATGCATGGTAGCTGTTAACGTAGTTCCTTCTGAGTCACAGCTTATTAGCTGTCACTTAACTTTTACACAGCTTTTCATCCAAGAAATGCAGATATTAAGTACTTCAACTGCCGATCCAAAGCACCAGCAAGATTTGAATCTGGATTTTAAATTTACTTCTCACGATGATGACACCCCTTTTTTGCAGTGCCCCCCTTCAGCATGCCATAGTTTCAGGGTGCACAATTTCAGGTTCACTGAAGTGCTGACAGCAGGGGTTCCCCCTCCCACATTAGGTCCTTTTCAAATAAACAAAGCTGTACATCCAAATGCAGGAGCATCCAAAAATCATTCATCACTTTTACAAAACACATTTTCCCCCCTCAGAGAGAGAAGCAGCTATTAAATAACGATTATACCATCACTACCTTCCTTCCCAAGGCCAGCCAAGGACTTTGTAGCAAAGCCAACAGAAGAATTCATATCTCCAGAATTCAGCTGGTATATTAATATATTCCATCTGGTGGGTCTCACACAGCTTAGTGGGCTGGTGCTCTGCAACCAGTTATTCCCAGATCTTTAAGACAAGACAAACTCTATACAATCAGTAACAGGTCAAAGAATGAAGTGGTACAGGAATTAGTCTGTTCCAAACACTGAAAGTATGTAACCTTTGGCTCATTATGAATCACAACACACCCTGATGGTAAGTTTCCTGGTATAACCACACACGTGATTCTGCTCATGGAATTGCCCTTTGCAATTCCTCATGCAATGTTTAATCCTTGGCTTAAACAGGTGACAATTTTAGTAATAGTGATTTTGGACATGTCAGTCCTGAGGTCCTATAATAAGCTTTGCAATATACATATTTAAAGTAGCAGTGAAGCTTCCTCAAGAGGCAGGAAGACAAGCACATAACATCAAGAATGTGTAATGTACCTTCAGTACAATATATACAGTAAGTATGAACAACACTGTAAAACTCCCTGCTTTAACTACTGTCATGGCTGACCTTGAGATAATATTCACATCAGGAGAAGTACAAACAGCAGAGTCCGGAAAGCACAACCCAAGTTATGTGTCCAAGCTAGTGACATACACAGACTGGAATGGTAATACTACAATAGCACAGACTATAGCTTATGCATGGAAGAAGTGCATAAAAATGGTTAATCAAGACTGACTGGTTGCAAGTCATATTTAATCCAGTTGAGAAACTGGATGAATCAAGTTCACATGCAGTTTTCTTTAAAAAAAAAAAAAAAAAAGAAGAAAAGAAAAGAAAAAAGAAAGAAGGAACCAAAGGCTTGTGCATTTGCCAAACATAATTGCCTAAGCCCAGCAAGTAAACCCTTTGGGTTCCCTAAGCACAAGATTACTTGTTCTGGTTTTTTTAATTTGCAGTCTTCCCTGTGGTACCCACCCTTCCAGTCTCAAAAAGTCATTTGTTTTAAGGGCCAAGGGAAAGGCTACAGCTCAGAGGGGGCACTGGTTATGTGAAATAAAGCTCCACTGGTTTTAAAAATCATAACAGATTTGCTGATTTTTAATTATTTTTTAAAAACACCAAGCCTTCCAATTCTCTTACCCAAATAAAACTCTAAAAACTATAAAACTAAATGTTCCCCAGTATATGTCAGAGCAGAAGGACATGATCTGAGTTCTGCCATGTGCATCTTCTACACAGAAATTTATTCTGGAGAAGCAGAAGAATGCACTGCTGGGGAGCCATTAGGACTGGCACTAGGTATGTGGGACATGTATGGGATGTGGACAGGGCTCACGTACGGCAATGCTGAAAAGGAACAGAGAGATGCTGCCTACCTCAAGCTATCCCAGCTACCTCCTTCCACCTTCACTCCCTGCTCTGCTCCGCTGCCAGTCACTCCACAGCAGCTCACCACCTCCCTGGAGAAAATATTCCAAGGGTAGATACACTCCCACTAAGATGAACACTATATGCAAGTACTTTAAAAGTTGGGAGAGACATGAAGGGGGTGCAGCACATATCCTCGGATCACAGAGAAAGGAAGAGAGAGGCAAGAAAAAGTTTAACAGCAATTGTGTTTTAGAACACTGGAATCCACGTAAAAACCTAAGTTGCACATCAAAATAACTCATCCTTTCAGATCCAGAAAAAGCACAAGTGAACAAGCGTGTACATTGCAGTGTGGCCTCATTAGTTTGGTCCCCTCAGCTAGCTCCTGCCTTGCCAAATAAGCATGAAATAACATTGTTCCACATTAGCAGCTTCCTTTACCCTTATGGTTTGAGGGCAATGCAAAACAGAAGACTACAGATGGGAAAAGAAAGGAAGAGGGAGAGAATTCAGATTTTTACACTTATTTTTATGGATCAAACTGGGTACTTGACCCTTTGCCAATTATGAGCATTGAAACCTTCGAGAGACAGAGCAGAGAAACAACAAAATGCATTTCCAGAGCATTACTCAAGTGCTCTTCCTAAGGCATTCAGGTCACTTGACAACTGCAGGTTATTTCTTATGCAAATATATGTAAGCCTCTTTGCAAGGAATTAATACCAAAGGGCAACAGGGAGAACTGCAATTTCTAAATAAGCATGTGTGCCCAAATTCCTGGGACATATACTCACACCCTTGCATCATGGTCAGGAGCAACTATTAATTATTTTGGTAGCTCTTCATGCTTGCTAACAACACTGATGTTACATTGTTTTTTTGGTTTGGTTGGGATTTTTTTCTTCTTTTTGTGTGTTTATGTTTTGTTCTACTTTAAATGGCTTTGCAAGTTATTCATCTTGATCTTTCTATAAGTGTTGAAACTTCAGAGATGAAAGTTTCCAGTATCAGTCACAATGACCACTACTTCCCTAATATAAAGTGTTTGGGAACTTCTAATACTGTTCCAGCTAGTTTAGAAAAAAATACCCTGTCCTGTGTTAGGTATTTTAGTATTAAACTTCTCTGTCAAAAACAAGAGTAGCTCCTGTTATGGTTTATATCCATGCTTGCTTTACAGCAAGCAACAAAATGCCTGTAACAAAAATAAAAGACACAGTTATCAAGAAGCAGATGAACTAGGCTAACGAGAATAGTCACTTTTCACTATTATTTGACCTCACCTACAAGAAACGGCATTTTGTGGGGTTTTTTTGGTTTTGTTTGTGTGGCTGGTTGGTTTTTAAGAATTAAACAAACGTCAGATGTTAAGATAACATAGCACTTAACTTTACAGTTCATCTCAGAATCAGGCAGTGAAAATGACTGCCATGGACTTATTTCTCTACAGAAACCCCAAAAGTAAACAAGTGAGTCACAATACATTAGTTGAAGTTTCAGTTGCCATTGGTAACATGGTAAAAGCCATAACTGTTACTTTTGCAGAAATCTACCACTTCACACCAGTTGAGAATCTGGTTTGTAATTTATCCAAATAACACAGAGCAACATAAAGCCATTTTACAATATGTTTTTTTGTTCTATTTCCCATTCTGCAGTTGATGAAGCGCATACTAGCTCACTGGAAAGTTTCTTAACAGTTTGGTTACATGCAGCTGTATGTAAACTGATTTCATTTACAACCCACCTTCTGCTCCTTTCAATCATGGCCTTTCACAGCTAGGGATTTCCCACAAGAGAAACACGTAGCAGGAAGGACCGTCCATCCACGTGTTACAACCTCCTTTTGAAAGCTACATCTCGGTTAATATACTGAGCTTCAAATGAGAAACAAGACAAAGACTTTGTGCTCCCTTCTTCTGATCAAATTCAGGATCTCGAATACCCATCCCAAAACAGCTCAAGCACCTTAAAGGGATATTCTATTCCGATACTTCCACTATTTACAGAGCTAAGCAAGTTAGTGCCTGTTGCAGACTGAGGTTGCTCAGCCCTCATACAAGATCACCCTTAGCGGAACTTTCATGTGGCTCTCTGCAGTCCAGTGACAAGGTTTCCTCAAGCTTTGTAAATAACTCATGCATACAGCTAAAGCACTTGCGGTTTTTTAATCCTTTGAAGGCACCAGTCTCTCACCTGGTGCTTTATGGCTTGAAAAGAGTACCTGGTATTATTACTTCCTCCGCCCCCCCAAAAAACCCACCTAGAACCAGTTCCATTCACTCACCTCCTGACAGCTGGGACTGGGTAGGTGCACAGTAGCCAGTGACACCAGAGTATCAATTGTTTCCAACTCCTGTTGGTAAAAGGTCTGAATTTTGTTTTCTATTAGAAAGCCTTTCACTTTTTCATGCAGCATACTGATGGAGAAATGCTGACCCTCCAGGCCACTACAAAGAAATACAGATGGTGTCAAAAGCCAAGAAATGTTACTAACATTTTTTAGAACAATTGCCTAAAGTTAGCCTGCTAGACTGGTTTTCAAAGGTCAAAAGGTATTTTACTGTCCTTAAAAACATCTGAATTTAAACCGTAATTATACCAGACCATTTTTATGTGCAATAAACATCCAACCATCCATTGCTCTTCAATCACTTGCTGTAACAGTGTTGTGCTTTTACGATCTGCAATCTATGCATCCACACTGCATGCATCAGACCTGCCAATAAGCACCCGGCTGCCCTTGAACTGAATTCTGAGGGAATGGGTGTTGGCTCCCTTTATTGAGGTTATGCATTTGTGATTCGACAACGACACGGGCAGCAGAAGTTGAGAAAATTTCGATGGAATAGCTCCAAAATCATGCGAGGATACTCCACCTAATCTGTTGACCTTACCCCCAAATCTTGCTCCAAACCCCAGCTTTCTTTACTAGATGCAAGAGGTCTCTACACAGTATTTTGTTAACTACCTAATATTCACTTTGGTTCAGCATTATATTTCTTTCCTCAGATTACAGACAAGTATCTCATCTGTATGGACCATCAATTATTTTGGAGAAAAGCAGGCTGCTACTGCATGCTTGCTTGTGCAGAGTCTAAATCAGAGTGGAGCCCCGTTCTTTCTCCACAGTTATTACAGTAACAAATAAACAACAAGATCCCACACTTTGCAGTATCCAGACTGGTCCTGGTGCATTTACCTCTGTCCCTCCTCGGGGCCTTGGAAAGGTTTATCATAAACTTCTCTATACAGGCAGGGAAGCTCCAGCATTCTTGAAATCTGCACATCACACAGGGGATCATCCACTTTATCTGGAGTAGCAGAAAGAACACACATGGCCAGAATTGACATACCAACCTTTTAAGCAGGCATACCTGAGGCAGCACAACAGAGCTTCACATGACAGTATTAAATTGGCAATTTTTGTTCACTGTTGTTTTCTTAGAAACAAAACCACAAAGGCCACTCCTGCTTTTACAGTTTACAAGGAGGTAAATGACCTGCTGTGCTGCACTGCAGATGTTGTTTTTGTCTGACAACTTATTTAACTGGAATTTATGATCTCTATTTTACCTTTCAGCAGTCTTTATCCATTAGATGAAGTTAACACAGTACTATTTGGGCCAAAGTGAAAGCTGTTTGAATTGCATGGCTCTCCTTTAACGAAACAATGGTATTATTACCAACTCTTGAATGGGTTATGTATTCATAAATCTTCTGTTTGGAAGGAGGGTTGAATCTTTGCTCAGATTTTCAGTAGAGCTGAAAAATCTACAGATTTTCTCTCTGAGCTACACAGGGTTTTTAAAAGAGGGTCTTCCCCACACCAAAGGAATCATTTCAGTATTGTCTCTGAAAGACTTCACTGGGGAAAACTAACTCTTTCACAGCAGCACAGACACAGAGAAGTTATGTAAGCGGAAGCTCCTAGGGTGTAAACAGTGGTCTGCAGCTCTGCCCAAAGAGCCGTCAGATAGCGAGGCAGCAACTGTGTGCACAGCTGCGACTGAGCAACCGAAGTTGAGGAACGCTTCGCAGTCGTTCTGCAGAGCCAGAGAGTTTAGAACCTGGGCTTCAGAGGAAAAAGTGCCCATAGGCTGCTGTCTGCCTGTGGAATGGGTTATACAGGCTGCGACAAACAGCAACCGTTTCTCAAAGCAGCTAATGCCCTTGACGAAGTGTGACATAAAAGGTCACCAACTCCCTTCCAGGGGCTTTGGGTGTTCTACTGCAGCAAAAAGACAACTGAAGAACAAGTCACTCTCACAGCCACCCAACCGCAGTACCTGCACAGCATTCTTGTGTATGCATGTTGGTCTTTTTTTAATGCCTCATTTACAGGCAATCTAATCCCAGCCATGAAGTAGTGTGTTTTCTAACCTTACACTGCTAAAATTGAAATGAAGACGTACAGATGAAAACCTCTTTAGAGACATGAAATGCCAGAAAATAAAGTAGAAATCATTCAGTGGAGTACATGCAGCTTAACTCTTCTCACAAATGCAGACACCCAAGTCACGTGTGTCACAGATCCATAACACTCACAAAAACACGAAGCCTGAATTTCTCTTTGTTGCCTGTAGGTTCGGATGTGACCTCTGACCCTGACAACATCCCCGATCTCCAGCTTGGTTTTCTGGCTCACTATTTCTTGGAGTTTCTTCATCTGTTCAAGTACAGTAAGACTGTTGGGTGTGCTTGGACGGCCTGTAAGAAGTGAGGGAAAGGGGATCAGGCATTAAGGCCAAGAGGACTGACCTTTTGCATTCATCCAAACACCTAAGCATCACAGGAGCCACACTGCTAAAAACACGGGGTAAGGTCCCAGGTAACAAGTATCCTGGGTAGCAAAACTTTTGGGTGACAAAGTTAGTTTACAGTATTACATTTATTTAAACAGCTCACTGGAGAAAGTGTAAAAGAGAGGAGATACAGACCACTGAAAATGTCAGAGGTGGGTTGCAAAATTGAAACATCAATTTGAAATTGGCTTTGTCATGCTATGATGGATGAGAGGGGAAAAGAAAGGTCAGCTGAACTTTTTACATAAAAGAAGAAGCAGTCGTCTGAGGTGGGGCAGAAGTATTCCTGTAATGCAATTTGATGTCTACACTGAAGTGAATGCAACTCGACAGAACTTCACATTTACCCAACACACCTCTGCAAGAGAGTAAATCCTTCATAACTTAAAACCTGATAAATGATGCGAGTATCTCTGATCACAGTTATGAAAGGCTGGAAGAAGGTTTCCTGTGCCCGCCAGGAGTTGTTTTCTTTAGCAGGTACAAACAAATTAATTTCCATTAATAACATAGTGTCCGTTCAAGCACCCCTGATGTACATATGAAATAATAACACAATGATGAAACAGGCATTCTGTGTCCTCGTTCTATTTCAAGCAGTATTCCATGCAACTCCTTTAATGAATTTAAGTTCCTCATAAAAACCTGACTTGATTGTGGGTTCCCATTATTTTTTTGGAAAGCTGTGCCACATCACCTCTCTAAGTGAGAGCTGTCTTCTAGATTCCAGTTGCAACCATTTACACTTGTTATATCATTGTTAAATGTAAGCAAGCAAGAATTATCTGTCTGTATATTCAAGCTTGTTCCACAGACAGAGTTTTTAACTTTGATATCAAGCTTTCTTTTCCCCATTGTACACGTATGTAACCCTAACAGTGGCAGATGATCCTAGTAATGCTTATTTCAATGGGATTTGATCAGCTCCATATCAGGGCTGTCAATCTAAAACATGAGCTGTCAAGAAGGTCCAAAGCAGAATGTATTCCATACTTTGATCGACGAGAAATGGTGGGGAAAAAGGCAAAGAGAAAGAAGCAAGTTCTTCTGTTACTGAGTGCAATAACAGAGTCACTTCAAATGCACAATTTCTGCATACTTAGAACTTTCCCAAATAGTAAAAGACTGCTGGCATCCTCCCACTGTATTTCAAGCTACTTTTGAGTTCATCACTGACAGTAAATGCATGAGCAGGAGAACATGAATGCAGAGAAAAGATGAATCCTGGAACCTGTATCACAAGGGCGGGAAGGGACTGACTTTGGAAACAGCAGCTGTGGCATGTGGCACATTTCCAGCATAGTTCCTCAATAGACAAAGTCACAAAAAGAGCCTCAGGAAGAGGATTCTCTGAACAGTGCCACAGTATGGAACTGAAATACCGTATTACTCAGATAAAGAAATGCATGATAGGTCATAATGTGACGGTTTTAGAGGCATCACCATTGGATACAACACAAAGTAATACAAAACTCCCAAAGTGGCCCAGGCTGTAGGAAGCGATAGTTTAAAATTATAATTCGCTCTTCTGCAAGTTTGATCATTTACTACATTATGTAAGAAAAACATAAGCAAAACTGTACAGTCAAAAGAAGAATTATTCAATAAATTACCTGATAAAGATGTTTCTGTTACCATGGGATTTTTCCAGCAGATGCAATTTATAACTCCAGTACTGTCATCCACTGTAAAAAGCAAAAAAGTTTCAAGAAATTAAGATACATAGATATGTAAGGAAGTGATTGCCAAGGATATCTCATTCCAACCAGTCTGAAAGGGAAAGTGGGCATTCAACCCCTGCATATACCTCTGAAAAAATCTCCACAGTTGTTTCGGTCACAGAAGTAGCTCAGCACCAGATACCATGCTTATGTACATGGCCAGTAAAGTAACAGGCACATTCTCAGGAAAAGATTGAGCACTAATTTCAACTATGAAGCTTCAATATATGTATTGGAAACTGAAGAGGTTTAATCTCATTGACAAGGTCAGAAGAATCAGTGTTGAAAGCTGAAACCAGATAAATTAAAATAGGAAACCGGGCACAACACACAGGAACACAGTGAGAAAACCACACTTCAGCACTGGGGACTACAGCCACGTGACCTGACCAGCAGCGCTGCTACAGCCAGCTGCATTGCTTTCCACACCAGTACCGTACACAGAGTCTGCTGGCCGCTCCCGTGTGAGCAGATGTTCTGGAGAGCAGAAAGGCAGCCCCTCTACCCAGGAAGGACAGCAGACAGCACACGCTTGTGGTTCTGCTCTAGGCCAAGAATTCCCAACTTAAAGTACACATACTGGTGGCACACAAGTCACTTCCGTTTCTGAAAACGCTTAACACCTTCTCCTGAGCGTGGCAACCATCAAACCTTTCCTGTTTTGCTAGTACCCAATAAAAATACATTTTGCTCCAGGCACTGCACTGTCAAGGGCAGCAGAAAATGAGAGAAGCCAAAGGAAACTCAAAAGCTATCAAAATAATCAACTGTTCTAGAGATCGAGAGACTGTATATAAGATAGCATGTCCAACAAACACTCTGAATAAAGAGGCACTAAACAACTGCCAAATCACAGCAAGGATCACATTTCATGCCCAGCTAACGCTCCAAGCACCTTACTCCTAGCCATCTCCAAGACTGAGCTTTCAGTCTTCACAAATTGGAACCTGTAATTTTCTTCTGCTCCTTAAATCGGATCCATGACTACAAAAAAAAAAAAAATCACACCACTGTTTACCAGGAAGGTACTGACTGATACCTGCAGTCGTTTCCTCTGGGAACCATAGCATCAAAGCAAAATGCCTTTGTACTGTCTCAACGCTTTTGAAACAATCTCCCTACTTGGGGGGGTCCAATTTCAAGTCATTGTCTTGCCTTCCTGTTTCCCAGTAGCTCAGTTGCACATTCCCGATAACAAACATGCAGCATTTATAAGATGCAGGCAATTCCAAATTCCATCACAAAAGTATGCTCATCTCAATGCTCTCCCCCCCTTTCCCGCTGCTGCCCCTAACTCTTTCAGCAGCTTTAATTTTGTACAAGAGCACTGATAATGACCTAGCTGGTAGGGCTTCCTCTCCTTGGTGTAGGCAAAAAGGAGCTGCTTTAGTAGGAGTCGGAGCCCACCTACACCACACCAACCCATTAATGCAAGCCAGCAATGGCAATACGAAACACAGCAGATGACTTTTCACTGTTACGCTACTGCAGCTTCGAGATGTTCCAGCTTGTGACTGGCTCTGGTGCGCCAACTGCGACAGATACGCTTCCTAAGAAGGGCTTAGGAACAAAACAAACGAGATTTAAGGATTAGGAGCCCAGAGGACTCCTCATCAATGCAAGGGCTGGAAATGGAGAAACCAACCTGGTCTTGACCACAATGAGAATCTGGCAGCAGAGCAAGGCTCTGAAACCAAGTTTTCCCAGTTCACAATTAAAAGCTTTGAGCAAAAGGCAAATAATTCCTGAAGCACAGATGAATGAAAACTCTTGCAATTGTATTCTAATTAGACAGGAGAATATTAATCTATGTTAAGTGCATTCAAAGGGTCTACAAGCTTTGAAAACTTCCTGTGCTCCCTGTGCCGCCCTTCCTCATCTCCTTAGGTTTTAAATTTTTGTTTGGTTGCTTTTTTGTGGGTTTGTTTTTGAGGTTTTTCTGATTTGTTTTATTCGCATTTGGTTTTTTTGGACTCTTGCATCAACTATCGGAGGAGTAGCATTCTCAAAGTTACCTGGTGAATGGGACAACTGTGTTCCTTTTTATTTCTTCACAACAAAAAGGGTATCATTCCTGTAGGGCCTGTGTGAGCCCACAGAGGTTTTCTGCATGTTTGTTTTTAAGACAAGTGCTTTTCAGCCTTTCAAAGCACTTCATCTGATAATATTTGGGTTTGTTAAAAAAAGAGGTCAGAAGGGTGCATTAGCTAAAATATTAGCTACACTTTAATTAGATACCCTTCTCCTAATTGATCATAAGAGCCGCAAAAAGACAATCAGAAAAACACATCAAAAGGAGGTTTTTCACAGCACGGGGATTTGTTGTTTTGTTTGTATGTTTGGGGGTGGGGTTGGTGTTGTTTTTATTTTGGTTTGATTGGGTTGGGTTTGTTGGTTGGTTTGTTTGTTTGTGTTTTTTTAACCAGAAAAGGGTCAATCCCCCCTCTTTTTTATAATTATTTTGTTACTAGTTCTGCCTGCATGGTTTTAGCACTTCAAGGACCTAAGATTCTCTTAAAATGCGGAGTGTATCTTCTGAAGTAGAGAGATAGGAAATGGGGGGAGGAGACAGTGGCAGTGACACAAAGACATCTCAGTTCTCCATCAGAGAAAACATACAAAAGCGGAATTGCTTTGTAAGTCTCTTTTAAGCAGATGGAAAGTGAGCAAGTACTGAGCAGTGTGTGGCACTCCAACTGATGCAACGCCTGCTCTGTGACTCACCCACCAGGGTCTGTAGAACTGAGAGATGCAAGAAGTTACAAGCCTGAGAAGTTACGATTTTACGCTGGTGGAGTCAGCCTGCCTGAAAGGGAGGGCAGGCTGGGGAGGGGCACCCTGGCAGGTAGCCTGGAAGCTCAAAACAGGAACTGCAGAACAAAGAGTGGAGTTGGATGCGCAAGGACAGCAGGAAGCAGGCTCACCAAGAGCCGTACTTAAAGGTCAGCTGATCTAACACTAAGGCCTTAGTTCCCCTACTCTGCAGTTTCTTTCTGTTGTTCCATTTTCTGCCCTCATCAAACATTTCCAACTACTTTATATCCAGTTTAATGCTGAGAGCAGCATGAGAAACCCTTGCCCGCAGAACTGTTCTTGCCTTGGTCATTTTGATTCTGTCCTCCTCTGTTCTCATGAAATAACTGCATTTGCATACTAGTGCAACAAAAGAAAAATAGCTGATGTTCAATTTGTGTTTCAACACTTGATTACATCATCAATTACCTCTCGCCTCTTAACCTAGGTGCTTGTTTAGCCTGTGCTACTTCAAGTGCCAGAGAAACATGTGCTTCAAAATATTCACTGTCAACTCATTATTTAGCATAATGGCAGAGTAATAACAATCGTCCAGAAATTAGACTTGAAAAAAAAATCCAGAAAACATCCACTCTAAGAAACTTGCAGGGCCATTTCTATAGAGCAGAGAGTCAACTCCCAGCGGCCGCACCCAGTGCAGGGTATGCTATATGCACCAGCAGTTAATGCTACTCTGCAGCAATATGATGCAACTAGAGGTGTTGTGGGAGCTGGGACTTGGTTCAAGTTGTCAATTGTGTCTTCACAATACTCCTGTGAGTCAGGGAATTGCTGCTGTCTCAATTTCCTAAGCGAGGGAATTGGGTAAGAAGAGGCTTCATCAGGTGGAAAACCATGGCAGAAGATGACACTGGACATAAGCCCTTCAAGCGCTTCAAGAGGATCTACACATTTGGCTCCCCCTTCCTACTGTGAGATGACCTCCCCCACCTTTTGAAACTTGCCACATCACCACTGCTCCACTCTGGTTTATCTTGAGATGAAAAAGACAGCTGAACAAAATGACAATCAGATGTTTTCATGTTAATAAAATAGCCTGAGTATTGGGAAAACCAAGAGGGAGGAGACCACTCCCAGCTGGCGTTGGCAGGGACTGGTACTATGATGCTTCAGTTAGATTTGCTAGGGCGCTAACACATCTAAATATAAACATACTGCTGACTGCTATTAAAAGCTGGCTCCAAGATACGACAAAACATACAAAAAGTCAGAAGGGATTTCTAAGGTTCAAAAAAGGAAGTAGTAACTTCCCATTTGCAGGCACCGTTAAATCCGTTTATATCTGACCAAAGGAACTGAACAGATAGGAGAGGAAGATGGTGAAGTCCAGTGGCAAAGCAATAATCAAAAGTAAGATTCGCTAGATGACCCCAAATGAATCAGTTACTCTGCTTTAACTGTTTGTTTCCCTGCTTTTGTGGAGATAAACAGTAGCTTCCCTAAGTTTGCTAAGTCATCTGAGCTGCAGATACACATTATATTAGGGTAAGAGCACAGTGGTTTCAAGAACAGACAATGATCAAATAAGACAACCTTAAAGTTCCAACAGTAACTAAGATTAGAAGGCTAATAAGTGCAAGAAGAAAGAAACAAACTTTTCTTACCTCCATAATTATAAAAGGCATCCCGCTCTTTTGTCTGAACCACTATCCCGACAACATCCACCTGTCTGACTGGATGCCCGTTATAAAAGAATATACCTAGACACAGAATAATCTTGGTAAGTGTAAATACATATTTATTTCAACATCCTACCCTACCTAGTCACATTTGTCAGTAAAAAACCAGACTTCCTTACATATTTAATGTGTCTCAAATTATATCTATGCCTACTCACATGAAAAAATCCCTTGGACCAGTGAGGTCTGGGAACACTAGAAGGAAGAATTATCAGCTCTACCTAGGACACCAAAGCTTGCTTTTGTAGTGTCAGAACTTTATTAACCTCTTGTTTTCTTGCACATTTGGATCTGACAGTTTGTTCACTACAGACATTAGGGGTTTTTTTTAGTTGGATTTTTTGTTGTTTCCTTTTGGTTTGCGGTTTTGCAGTGTTTGTTTGGTTGGTTTTTTTCTTTTTTTTTTTTTCTTTTTTTTACATCTTCATCAGGCTTCATAATAAATAATAGAAGACAATGGAAGCAGTTTGAGCTTCTCACAATGCAGCTGCTACTGATGAAGGCAGAGCCTCCAAATGAAAAACAAACATAATTCTATCTTTCATTTCTAAAAGAACAGGAGCCATTGGGGGCAGGAGGAGAGAAACAACCCTCTTAGATTGCAGACTACACACTGCTGTCGAGGTTTAACCACAGCTACCATGCAGCTGCTCGCTCATCTCCCTCCTACCCCAGAGGGACAGGGAGAAGAATCAGTGGAAAAGAGAAGAAAACTCATAGGTTGAGATAAGAACAATTTAATGATGGAAACCAAAAGAAATAATACTAACAATACTAATAACACTAATATTGCTACTAATCATATGTAATGAAAATAATGCTACCACTACTGCTAATAATATGCAACAAAAATAATGGAAAAAAGAACAAACGATACAGCTGCTCACCACCTGCCAACCAATGCCTAGCTGGTCCCTGAGCAATGACAGCCAGACCAAGCCCGAGAGTGAGAGACACACTCCCCCCCGGCCCACTACCCCCAACTTATATACTGAGCATGACGTTTCATGGGATGAACCCTTTGGTCTGTTTGGGCCAGCTGTCCTGGCTGTGTATCCTCTCAGCTTCCTGCAGAGAACAGCTGGGAACACAGGTGTAGTATGAGAAACTGAAAGAGTCCTTGGTTTGATATAAACTTTCCTTAGCAACAACTACAAACAGTAGTATGTTATCAATATTCTTCTCAGCATAACCAAAACATAGCCTCATACCAGCTACTGTGAGGAAAACTAACTCTATCCCAACTAAAACCAGCACAACGATGCAGTCATCCTGGACAGCATCCTGATTTTCAGCTTCTGAAATAATACATTCTAAAAACATCCCTTCAAAACTAGTTTTGTGCATCTATAAAGACGACTTGAATAAGATTAACACGTAAAAACAGGTCCTGGAACCCACGAGGAGTCAGAGCCCAGTGCACGCTGACAGCACTGAGGTTGCCACACGCTGTAAACCCTTACAAGAGTGTGACCAATGTTGTTAACAAACACCAATGTAAACAGCATACACTGAAGCATCACAGTCCACTAGGAGGAGGATTATAGGGTGATAAGCTCCAGATAGATCCTTGGCTGGCTAATTTTCAGTCAATGCATTTTCTGTAAGTTTTGAATACTGTTTCTTTACTGAAATATGCCATCTGGGGTGTGTTCTGAAAACTAGGTAACTCAAGGGACTCAGAAGGGAACATTTGGCTCCATACACTGTAG